GGGGCATCTCTGATTTCCTGCCTGTATTAGCTTCCTGGGGTCACTGTGGCAAATCTCACACTCTTGGGGTCTTAAAACAAAAGAATTGTAATCTCTCACTGGGAGACCAGAAAGCTGAAGGAAACATGTTGTATTCCTCAGCCCTGCTAAGATCTCCCTTGGGACCATGTAACAAGAGGGAGGTGAATCAGAGGAAAGTACACAAATATATTTAATATGAGCCATCATAAGGAAATAAAGATCCGAATAAATGGTTAAACGTGTGGGGTTATTTTGCTAGATTTGATGAAGAGTGGAAAGTTGGAGCCCCTCCTAGGGGTTCCTCAAAGTATTTGAGCATGGTAGTAACTGGAGGGGCTTGATGAGACCTGCCTGCCCAATCTGTCTCTGCCCCTCCATCTTCAGACATGTGGTGCTCCTTCCTCTGGGTAGAGAGATGGAGGAGAAGATCAAAAAGTCCTTCCTCCACTTGCCATTTCTCAAATCCCTTCAGCCTGAAAGGTTCACGATGCCAAGGTGACACATCTTGGGTGCCCAGTCCTGAACCCCAGAATCCAAAATCAGCTTAACTGCACAGAAAGCAAGAGTGGTTGAGCTCCATGCCCTCCAGAGGCTCCAGGAGAGAATCCTTCTGGTTTTTGCAGGTGATGGGGCTGCCACCATTCCTTAACCCATGATCTCACTGCTCCCCTCTCCATCTCTGTGGCCAAGTTGCCTCATGCTGCTCTGTGTACAGGAAGTCACCCTCTGCTTCCCCTTTAGAAGGACACTGATAGATTTAGGACTAAATCCAGATAATCTAGGATGATCCCCACAGTCTAGATCCCTAACTTCCTCACACCTGCAAAGACTCTCTTTCTGGTAAGGTAACATCTACAGGATCCAGGGATTAAGACCTGGGTATGTTGGAGGTCATGATTCAGTCCACTGCACCACCCAAGTGATTTTTTTCCACCCCTAAATGCCCCCATCTGGCCCCCGGACCTTCTTTACTCTGTTTTCCCACATCCTGATACAGTAGTGGGTCATCTCAGGTGTAACACACATTTTGGGGCACAGGGACTTCTGTTCTGCAAAAGCCACTATTTTTTTTTCTCCAGAAAAATATTGGGTTCTTTTTTTATTTCAGTCAATTCTCACAATGCTTTATAAAACATGATTTTATCATTCTTTTTTGGTACATGTAAGAAACTGAAGTTCTCAGTTGTTACAAAGTTTTGACTAAACTCGCCAGGAAATGGCAGATGCAGTATTTGATCCTAGATTGGTCGGCCTCTGGAAGAGCACTGACCAAAGGAAATATAATGCAGCCAAGGTGTGAGTCACATATGTAATTTTAAAAAAAGAAAGAAACAAGTCCTGTATATACACACCTCCAACACAACCTTAGTTAATTACTGTGTAAAAGTCACTATTAATGGAGCTAAGAGAAAAGCGGCAGAAGAGGGAAAATAGTACATCCATGTATCAGACGAAAGAATTCCTTCTAGAATATATCAAGGACTCTTAAGGCAAAACATTAAGTGCACAAACAAAACCTAATTGTACAAAAAATTGGGACTCAACAACAAAAAAACAAATGACCCTATTTTCAAATAGGCAAAGGATTTGAATAGCTACTTCTCAAAAAGTATACAAATGGCCACTAAGCACATGAACACAGGTTCAACATCTGGTATCAGCAAAATACAGAACAAGCACACAATGAGAAACCCCTCCACACTCATTGTGTTGGCTATCATAAAAAATAAAATGAAACAAAAAGCAGGAAACAACAAGTGTTGGTGAGGAAGCTGAGAAAGTAGAACTCCTGTGGTTTGCTCTTAAGACTGTAAATGGTGCGTTTGCTATGGAAATCAGTATGGTGGTTCCTCAAAAAAATTTAACACTGAATTACCATAGAATTCAGATTTCACATTTGGCCATATACCCAAAGGATCAAAGGCAGGCACTTGAATAGATACTTCTACATCCATGTTCATTGCAGCATTTTTCATAAGAGCTAAAAGGTAGAAGCAACCCAAAGGTCTATCAACAGATGAACAGATAAACAAAAGGTGGTATGTTGAATCAATGGAATATTATGCCATCTTAAAAAGAAGGAAAGTTTGGGCGGCCTGGGTGGCTTAGTGGTGTAGCGCTGCCTTCCCAGCCCAGGGCATGATCCTGGAGACCCGGGATCGCGTCCCACATCGGGCTCCCTGCATGGAGCCTGCTTCTCCCTCTGCCTGTCTGTCAGTCTCTCTCTCTGTGGGTCTCTAATAAATAAATGGAATCTTTAAAAAAATCAAATAAACTCTGAGGAAAAATCATTTAAAAAATAAAAAGAAGGACAGTTTGACACATTTTAGTATGGGTTGAGGATATTATTCTAAGTGCAGTAAGCCATTCACAAAAGGACAAATCCTGGATGATTCTATTTAACATCAAGTATCTAGAGTAGGCAAATTCATAGACACCAAAGATAGAATTATGATTGTCAAGGTCAGGGGATGGGTAGGGGACAGCAGGGAATGGAAGGTTACTAATTTAATAAGCATAAAATGTCAGATGGGGATGATGAGAAAAGTCATGGAGATGGATGGTGGTGATGGCTGCAGAGCAATGAGAATGCGCTTAATGCCACTGACCTGGACAATTTTAATGGTTAAGGGGTAAAGGTTTTTACTATGCACATTTTGCTTAATAAAAACAAAGCAGCCAAAGATTTAATCAGCCACACTTCACCCAGGAAGCAAAATGGAGGGCAAATGAGCACATGAAAACATCACCAACCTCACCAGTCCTTAGGAAATCCCAGATTAAAACCAGGGTGAGATATCAGTGCACACCTCTTAGAATGGTGAAAAAAAAAACAATCACAAAACAGAAAAATCCTCCTAATGTCAAATACTAAAGAGAATGTGGAGTAACCAGAACTCACTACACTCTGCTGGTGGAAACACCAAATGGTACAGCCACTGTGGAGGAAACTTTGGCAGGTTTGTCCTGTTAAACATACACCAATGAGGGACCAAGCAACTGGATGCTTAGATATTTACCCAAGGGAAATCAAAACTCATTCCCACAGAAATGTGTGGATTCCTGTATGTGAATATTGACACTTAACTTTATTCATAGCCACCCCAAGCCTAGAAACTACCTCAATGGTCTCCTAGACGTAAGTGTATACAACATGAGAGTTCAGTGAAACAGTGAAGTACCAGTAGCAAGTACAGGATGGAGTAATTGGCAGACACACCCAACAACATGGAGGACCCTCAAATGCTTTATGTCCACTGAATGAAGCCAGACTTTGAAGCTACTTTTGGTATTATTCCGTTTTTGTGACATTCTGGAAATAACAAAACAATAGGGATGGACAACAGACCAGCATTTTTGCAAATTTATGGGTGGAGGGAGGATTTGGCCACCAAATGACAAAAGGAAAGAACGTTTTGGGGAATGGCATGCTTCAGTCTCTTGACTCTGCTTATGGTTACATAATTTGATACATCCATCAACCTTGACAGAATTGTAGGAGATAACAAGTGAATCTCACTAAGTCTAAGTTAGAATAAAGAATTAAAGAACACATCTAGAAACCACTACAACTCTGCAAGAATTGGTTTAAAATTTTTTTTAAGATTTTATTTGTGTATTCATGAGAGGCAGAGACATAGGCAGAGGGAGTAGCAGGCTTCCTGAGGGGAGCCTGATGCAGGACTCAATTCCAGGACCTGGGGATCACGACCTGAGCTGAAGGCAGACACTCAACCATTGAGCCACCCTCTATGGTGCCCCTCTATGTTAATACTTTTCAAGGAACATTTACTTAGATATTACTGTGTTTGGAAGATTTTACGAATGTATGATGGCAAAGGCTATTATATATTTTTATTGTAAAAAGAGGCATCAACGATTTCCCAGCTGTGTACGCCACAGAGTGAGATGGGCAAGCATGTCAGCAGAACCTACAGTTTTAATTGCAGCTGTATAACCACTGCACTCATATTTTCTGCAATAATATGTGTTTTGAGCCACATTTGACCTTGAGAAGCTTATTTTTTACATGACAGGAACTGCTAATTGTCTGATGAGGAACTAAAGAAATTGCTTCAGCCCACACTCCATTGTACAGACAGAGATTACAATGGCTCATAAACATGTGTTCTCCCTTTTGTTTTACATGGAACTATGTAGTATTTTCAGTTCTCCTTTTGGAGATGCCAGTGACACTTTAGAAATCAGTATAATAGAAGTAAAAAAAAATGGTCCTATCCTTGTATATAAGAAAATATCCAGGAGACCAGGAGACACATTGCAAAGTCACAGGTGTCTGCAACTGTGAACCTGATAGGGGCAAAATGAAAGCATAGTGTGTCTATGAAGGAAGTGGTACCCTTGGTGGGGACTACGTCATGGAATGAACTGGGTCAGGCCCAACTGTCTTATCTCCAGGTGCCCCAACACAGATATTAACTAGGCATTTGGAGAATGGATGAATGAATGAATGAATGAATGGCTCCTGCTTTCTCTTCATCCAGGACCCCATCTTTCCTTCTGCTCCAGACACTCACATAGACCTAAGAATCCTCCACCTTGCAGGACTGATTACCTGAGGATCTAGATGAGCCTGTGACTCCAGGTTTAGCCAGGAATTGACTAGCTCCCTGTTAGAGACAATACTGCTCAATCACCTCAGGTGGGAGGACCTGAGGAGACTCACTGTGCCCCATGCCTCATGTGTCCTCAGAGAACCTGGACCAGACTCTGGTGCCACAAACAAGTGCCAGGATGGGGGCAGTGAGGGTTCACTGAGAGTCTCTCCTCCCTTGGGGGGGTCTCCTTCGTTCTTGGCCAGGAGTGTGGCTGATTCTGTGCAGGGAGGGGGTGAGCTCTGGGGCTGCAGTTCCATTTCTGTGAACTACAAGGCCTCATGCTCCTCCCCAGCTTCTCATGGGTCCTCTCCAGCACCAATCCTACTGGCTTTCACTTCTCCTTCACCCACAGGAAGCCTACATACCCTCTTGTCTAGGATGCTGCTGCTGCTACTGCCCATACTGTGGGCAGTTGAATGGGCCCAGGGGAAGGTGAAGTTGGGAGCCTCTGCCGACGCTGGAGTCCCCACAAGATCCTTGGCTCAAGATCCGATATACCGGCTACAAATACAGGAGTCCCTGACGGTGCAGGAGGGCCTGTGCATCTCTGTGCCCTGCTACTTCTCCCACCCCAAGGAATACTGGATCGACACTTACTCTGCTTTGGGCTACTGGTTCCGGAATGGGACCAATGTACATTGGGGTGCTCCAGTGGCCACAAACAACCCAGATCGAAAAGTACAAGAGGAGACCCAGGGCCAATTCTTCCTACTTGGGGACCCTCAGGCCAACAACTGCTCCCTGGAGATCAGAGATGCACAAAGAAGGGACTCAGGGACATACTTCTTTAGGGTGGAGAGAGGGCCTCATTTGAAATATAGTTACCTACAGAACCAGCTCTCCGTGCATGTGACAGGTAAGAAGAAGACTCTAAATGACACCATAGGGGTAGGACAGGGCTCCAGGACTCCCTGGGTGGGTTGGGAGATGCATCTGGGACTCACAGGCAGGGGCTGCACCAAGCCTGGGGCTTCTCTCAGGGGCAGACCTCAGACACTCCTACTGATCCCCATGTCTCCCCATCTCTTACAGCCCTGACCCATACACCTGACATCTTCATACCAGGGACCCTGGAATCTGGCCACCCCATGAACCTGACCTGCTCTGTGCCCTGGGCTTGTGAGCAGGGCATACCCCCCATCTTCTCCTGGATGTCAGCTGCCCTTACCTCCCTGGGCCCCAGGACCCACCTCTCCTCGGTGCTCACCCTCACCCCCAGGCCCCAAGACCACGGCACCAACCTCACCTGTCAGGTGCAGTTCCCTGCAGTTGGTGTAATGGTGGAAAGGACCATCCAACTCAATGTCACCTGTGAGTACAGAGCCAGGACCACCTGGGTGCCTAAGGGATAAGGGGAGGAAAAGCCAGCCTTAAGATGCCTGGGGCTTTAGTCCTAGAGGTCTGGTGGAGTGTGGGACCTAGAAAGACACAAACCCTGTCCCTTCTGTGTTTCTGTGGTTTCTGGGGTGGGGGGATGCCCATATGTATCTGATATTACCCCACCAGACTGAAGAAGGAAATCCCCTCTTTGATCCTAGGTACCACACAGAACCCAACAAATGGTGTCTGCTTGGAACACAGCACAGGTAGGAAGGAGCCTCATGTCCATGGGGTATTGACTGGCCAGGGTCTCTGTCAACTTAAGTCAGAGTGAGACTTTAGACTCCATGGATGAGGGTGTGTTGGTGTGCTGTGGTTAGACATGAGAAGCCCTCTCAGCCCTCTTCTCCCATAACCTCGCACTTTGGTCTTGCCCAAGTGACCTGCAGTTTTCTCTCCACTATCTTGAATATGCTTTTCATCAACCTCTGGTCCCTGAAGGCCTTGGAGCATTTTCAGTAGACTGTACTCTTGGAGGGGAGTTTTGGGTTCATAGCAAAACTAAGCTGAAGGTAGAGATTTTTCCCCAAATGCCCTGCTTTAAGTGCATTACATCTCCACTATAAACATCCCCCACCAGAGGGTAGCTTTGTTACAATAAAATCTACATGGATGTCCTTTATCACCATCAGTCAATCCTTGACATTAGGGTTCATTCTTGGTATTATACATTCCATGAACTGGACAATTTATAATCACATGTATCCATCTAGTGTTATCGTGTGGAGTAATTTTGCTGCCCCAAAATGTCTCTGATCATTTTTTGACTGTCAATCCTTGGCCCTCACCTTGCCTTCTCTCTGAGCCTAGCCTTACCCCCATTGTTGTATCCCATTGATAATGATATCTGGCCCTCACCTGGATAGTGAGCCCCATTAGGACTCTTTCAGTGCATGCCAAATGGTTGACAGGTGATGCCCAGGGACACATCCTTCACCCTGGGTGTGGGCTCCCAGGATGCATGGCCAGGCAGGGCCAGGAGAGCTGAGGGTCTGAGAACTGCCCTGCTTCTACCTGCCTCTGGAAGTGCAAAAGACCACATTTGACTCTGAGTGATAGGGCCAGTGGAGGCCAGGAGATTCAGACACCCTCCCTGGAAGGAAGGAGTGACTTTCCACATCCCACAGCGCTCTGTACATATCTCTCTCTCTCTCCCTCTCTCTCTCTCTCTCTCTCAATCTCTCTTTCTCTCTCTCATTCTGGAATGCCAAGAGGGCTGAGAGCCTTATGGTCCCGCTGCAGCCAGATCTGGGATCTGCTGCAGAGAGACTCTGTATGAGGAAGAACCAGGATCCTAGAAGAGATGGTGTTTGCTAGACAGGAGTTCAGGGGCCAGATGGTATGGATAGAAGGTTTCACATAGACCATGTCCTTCTGGTGGAGGCTGAGGTCTCACAATGGGTAGGAGACCCTCAGGGCTGAACCCTGGACAGGAGTGAAAGGGTATCCCTCTCTGTGGAGCTGCAGAGGAGGCAATTTATGTCTGCACATCAAGATTGGAGTTCAGTCCAATTGTCTCTGTCTACAGGGAAACCAGGGACCAGGTCAGGAGTGACTGTAGGTGCCATTGGGGGAGCTGGTGTCACCATGCTGCTCACTCTCTGCCTCTGCCTTATCTTCTTTCGGTGAGCTGGGTAGGTGTGGGAGAGACGGGAAGAAGTGGGACCTGCAGGGGTTGTGATGTCTTGGAGCAAGGGTGAAGGGTGCCAAGTACAGGTGTGTTCTCAGCCCTGGTCCCAGTGGTCCAGGAGCGAGGGGATCTTATTACAAAGTCTTGATATGAAGGCTCCTGGGCTCACCCCAGCCTCAACTTGCCTCAAAAGAATGACCCTATGTCAGAGACCCTTTTGTCTCCCGTGTCTCCCGTCAGAGTGAAGACCTGCAGGAAGACAGCATCCCAGACAGCAGTGGGCATGGACAATATCCACCCAGTTGTGGAGCCAGCTCCCTTGGTGAGTGATGTGGGCATCCTGGCATGCATCTCCCAGGGTGGCCCACAGCCATGCTCCATTCACTATGTCCAGAAATGAGCTCATCATCTTCCTGCTTGTTTGAAAATGGAGGTTTTATTATTCAGGTATCTGAGACCAGCAGATCAGGACGTGACTGCAACCGCAAAGGCACTCTGTGGCTCACAGTTCCTGGGAGGAGAGGCACATCACCCCACACACAACCACATGGGGCAGGGCTAGGGTGGGTCAGGAGGCAGAGGAAGCAAAGGGAGACATGGTTAGGGTGCTCACTTTGGCAGCACACATACTAAAATTGGGAGACATGCGTAGGGCCCTTTATTGTGGTTTCAACAGGAAAGGCACACTGAGACAGGATAGATAGATTTAGGATTGGCTGTTTTGAATAATTTCAGCAGGCTCTAGGGTGTTGGGGCTGTCCTTGGCTGTTTGGTACTTGGCTCTGAGGTGCTTAGGCAGAGGAATAGTGGCCCAGGAAGTTGGGGTGTGAGCTTTAGATGAGTTGGTTTGCATGTGAAAGGCATTCTTGCAGGAAAATCCTTCATCATCTCTAGAGATTGGCTAGTCCTAGCAGGGTTAGCAAGGCCTCAGATGCCAAAGCATCAGAAACATGTGGTTAACACACTCCTAAACACATTCTTCCTGCTGGTTGTCCACCTCCCTGATGGCACTTGTCCTGGAGACGCCGCCATAGACCAATCCCTCCACTAGCCTTGCACTTCTTGCACCAATATGCTACTGAGCATGTCTGAGCTTCTGCTCAGTACAGCATAATGCAACCACTCCCTTTGAGCTGAGCTCCCCTCTTAGTCTTTATCCTGCTGGAGCTCTCCCGCCTCTCCTCCCTGGCATGCTAGCATCACCTCCATGAAGATCTTGTCCCATATGCCAAAGTCTGAAAAGCAATGCTTCTCCCCACAGCCGAAAGCTACCCAGGGGGGCCAAAACAACTTGGTCTGACATTTGGGGCAGGAAACCCAAAGTTACTGTTTCACTCCCCCAACACCAGCTTGCTCACTCACCTCCAGCAGAGTGAAGTTTTTTGCATCTCAGAATCATTGTTGGGCTGTGCCTTCCTCATGGGTCTGTGTCAATCTGCATTACTCTTGTTCATCTCCGAGCTCTGACCTCATTTATTTATTTAAAACTCTGACTAAAGGGGCACCTGGGTGGCTCAGTCAGTTAAGCACTCCACTCTTGATTTTGGCTTGGGCCTTAATCTCAGGGTTGTGAGTTCAAGCCCCACGTCGAGTTCCGCATGGGGTGTAGAGCCTACTTAAAAGCGTAATCATAAATAAGACTCTTACTAAGGTGGACACCACTGAGATTTCTGAGCACATGATCTGTGATCACCATGCATTCATTAATTCCTTTTGCAAATATTTCCCACTTGTCGATTGTTCTGGGTGCTTGGGTAATATCTGTGTTCTTACAAATACATATGTTACAAATATAAAATGTCCCTGCTGTCAAGGACTTAGATTTATTGCAGGGGTGGGGTGGAGGCAGAGGCAGAAGGAGGGGATGAAAACATGACAGATAAGTAGCAAAAATATGCAAGAAATTGACAGGAAATGGTGCTGCTTTGGAGAGGAATTAGATCAAAGAATGGGGGAGGACAGTCCTGGGGCTGGAGTCTTTGAGAAAACACCTGCCAGAGAGAATCACTAAGGCTCTATCTAAGCAAAGTTTGGGGATTCTGAGGATGGGCATGATTGATGTGTGGGAGAAGCAGCAAGTTGGACAGTGTGCCTAAAGCAGATCTGTGTGGGCGTGGGCAGTGAGTAATAGTGGGTGGGAAATGGAGATGGAGAGGCATGGGGGCTGCAGTTCACCATAATTACCTATGTATTTTTTTTAATTTTTATTTATTTATGATAGTCACAGAGAGAGAAAGAGAGAGAGGCAGAGACACAGGCAGAGGGAGAAGCAGGCTCCATGCACCGGGAGCCCGACGTGGGATTCGATCCCGGGTCTCCAGGATCGCGCCCTGGGCCAAAGGCAGGCGCCAAACCGCTGTGCCACCCAGGGATCCCATTACCTATGTATTTTTAGAAGAGTGACAATGTAAAGGAAAACCACATAGAACTACAACTTCTGACCCTTTTGGTCACTAAATATGTGTGTAGTTTTCCCCACGCCAAATAATTCTCTCTGACACCAAGTGGATGTTCCCCAATTCAACTCAGTTCTGGCATGATCTACCTGGAGTTGGCATCGGATCCCACAGGTGAGGGAGGGCTCAGCCCCACGAGGCTGCCCCACCCTACTTCAGATGCCAGTCATAAGTTTAGGTTGTCACTTGTGCTTCTGACTAACTGGCTATAGATTGGAGGTTCCCACAACCCCCATCCTCAGTTTAATTAATTTGTCGCAGTGGCCCACAGAACTCAGGAAAGCAGTTTGCTTACTGCATACCAGTCTATTATAAAAGGATATAATGAGAGATACAGATCAACATCCAGATGGAAGAGATGCATCCCTTTTCCCATGTGCCACCCTCCAAGCACCTCCATGTGTTCACCAACCCAGAAGCTCCCTAACTGCACCCCCCCACCATGCTGTTGGGACTTGTATGGATGCCTCCCCACATAGACACAATAAATCATTACCTCCATTTTCAGCTCCTCTCCCCTTCCTGAAGGATGAGGACCTGGAGTTGAAATTTCCAAGTTTCTAACCACAGCCTGTTCTTTCTGTGACCAGCCCCCATCCAGGAGCCAATCAAGGTTTACATCATTAGAACAAAAGATACTGCTGTCTTCCAGGAAATTCTAAGGGATTTAGGAGCTCTGTGTCAGGAACCAGGGTCAAAAACCAAATATTAGAAAAGAAGATGCTTCTAGCACTCTTGTCACTTAGGAAATTATAAGGATTTTAGGAAATCTGTACAACAATGTGTGTATATATATATATATATATATACATTGTATTATTTCACAGATGTGAATTGATGCTCTATTTTTTTAAGTAGGCTCCACGCCCAATGTGGGGCCTGAACTAATGACCCTGAGAGCAAGAGTTGTGTGATCTATTGACTGAGCCAGCCAGGTACCCCAAACTGATGCTCATTTTAATAGGATCACTCTGGCTGCTATGCTGAGAATGCCAATAGGAGGCTAGGGCAGAAAAAGGGGACCAGATAAGGAAGACACTCAAATAATCCAGGCAAGAGATGATGCAGACTGTATTAGTTTGCTAGGGCTCCCATAATAAGATACCATAGAATGCATGGCTTAGACTACAGAAACCTATTTTCAGAAACAATTGTGAAGGCTGGAAGTCCAAGGGTAAGATGCCAGCAGGGTTAGCTTCTTTTGAAAACTCTCTCCTTGGCTTGCAGATGGCTGCCTTCTCTCTGTGACATCCTCTGGCTTCTTCCTTGTGTACAAACATCTCCAGTGTCTGTTCTTCTTACAAGGACATAAGTCATTTTGGGCCTTACCTTAATGTCCTTGTTTAAACTTAATTATAAGTTTATTTTTTTAAGATTTATTTATTTATTCATGAGATACACAGAGAGGGAGAGAGGCAGAGACATAGACAGAGGGAGAAGCAGGCTCTTCACAGGAGCTGGATGTGGGACTCGATCCCGGATCCCAGAATCACTATCTAATCTGAAGGCAGTTACCCAACTGCTGAGCCACCCAGGCATCCCTAATTATCTCTTTATTTTTTGAAAAAGAATTTATTTACTTATTCATGAGAGACACAGGGAGAGAGGCAGAGACATAGGCAGAGGGAGGAGGCTCCCTGCAGGAAGCCTGATGTGGAACTTGATCCCAGGACCCCAGGATCACCATCTGAGCCAAAGGCACATGCTCAACCACTGAGCCACCCAGGTGCCCGTTAATTACCTCTTTAAAGGCCCCATATCCAAATATGGTCACAATAGGTGTTAGAACTTGAACAAATAAATTCAACACATGGGCACAATTCAGTCCATAAGACAGACTAAGTCCAGGGTAACAGTGGTAAATCAGGATTTGCTAATGGAGTGATAGAGTACATGTGGGAGATGAGCAAAGAGAGTTCACTGCCCCTACCTAGTGGGTAGATAGATAGTAATAGATGCCAAAGATGAATCTGTAGATGTCAGAGATATCCACAGATGTCCATAAATGTTCATAGATACCAAAGACAACTCCATCATGGTTGCCCTGAGCAACAGAAATAACTGAATCAGCAATTCCTGAAATTGCCAACTCTGTAGGAGTATGTTTGCAAGAGGGGGGGAGTCAAACTTTATTTTGGTCACTATCAGCTTAAGGTGCCTCTGACAAGTCCGAGTGAAGAAGACAAGTAGATGACAAGAGTCTGGAATTCAGGACAGGTGTCCAGGTAGGAGGCAAAGATTTTGGGGTGCATCCACATTGAGGTCCTACGGTAGATGAAGCCATAAAAAAGAGGAGGGTTCTGCAGACAGAGCTCTGTGAGTGCCAGGGATACAAGGTAGAGACAACAAGAAAAACCACTGAGAAAAAAGAAATGACCAAGAGAGGGTGGGTCCTGATAGCCAAAGGGAGATGAAGCTTCAGGGAGAAGAGAATGCATGTTTGTCTCAAATGCTAGTAAGATCCAGTAAGATAAATTCTTAGAAATGAATCTCAAATTTAGCAAATAGTGTCACAGCTGATCTTGACAAAAGCAGATCTGCTTGCCTGGTAAAGGAAGTTATCTTATTTGGAGTAAGTTCAAGAGAAAATAGGAGGATGGGAAGTGGAAACACTCTTGAAAAATGTTGCCATAAATCTAGAGAAATTAGTCTGCAGCAGGAAGTAGCCATACTTCTGAATTCCTTGGAACTTCCTATGTGATAGAAGCATCTTTTATACCAGCAAGATGACTCTGAATGGGCTTCTGGATGGGTTGGTCACCAGAAAGACCACTCCATGACTAGAAGCTTGGCATTTTCATCACTGCTCCCTGCCCCTCATTCTCCAGAGAGGGGAGAGAGGCTGGAAATGAAATTAGTGATTGATCATGCATACATGATGAAGTCTCCATAAAACTCCCAAAGTATGGAGTTCGAGGAACTTCCAAGTTGGTGAACACCTAGTGATCCCTGAAGTGCTCTTTGGAGAGAGTGTGGAAGCTCCTGCCACCTCCCCCCAACTCCCCCTATGCATCTCTTCCATTTGAATGTTCATCTGTGCTGTGTCTTTTATCACATCGGTTTATAAAAGCTAGTAAACAGTAAGTAAACTGCTTTCCTGAGTTCTGTGAGCCACTCTAGCAAATTAATGGAACCTGAGGTGGGGCTCGTGGCAACTACTAATTTATAGCCAGTTGGTCAGAAGCGCAGGTGACAACCCGGACTTCCAACTGGCAGGGGAGGTGGGAGTGGGGCAGCTGTGCAAGTCTGAGCCCTTAATCTGTGGGATCTGGCATTATCTCTGGGTAAAGAGTGTCAGAATGGAGTTGAACTATGGGCCACCCAGCTGGTGTTGGAGAATTGCTTGGAACAGAGGTGTTGTAAATATGGTAGCAGTGTGAGAATAAAGACACACCCAGAAGAAAAGTGAGCTTTTCATAAACATCTTCCTATGTGTTCTGTGCCAGAGAGACTGGAGTTGGGTTCATGATCAGCAAATGTGTGGCTTTGGGGAGTACCTAACCTCTCTGAGAGAATAAGTTTCTCTCTCTGTAAAATTATAGTATTTTCCAGGCAGCCCGGGTGGCTCAGAGGTTTAGCGCCACCTTCCGCCCAGGGCCTGATCCTGGAGATCTGGGATCGAGTCCCACATCAGGCTCCCTGCATGGAGCCTGCTTCTCCCTCTGCCTGCTTCTCCCTCTGCCTGTGTCTCTGCCTCTCTCTCTCTCTCTCTCTCTCTCTCTCTCTCTCTCTCTCTCTCCTCTCTGTCTCTCATGAATAAATAAAATCTTTAAAATAATAATAATAGTATTTTCCACATAAGTTTGAGTGAGTGTTCCGTAAAATTTGAAAGCAATTAATAGTGCTATATTTATAGATACGAAATGTTTGATAAAGAATGGAAGAATGAACGTCCTGTCAGAATCAAATTCACTTCGCAGACCCTCACTGCCTTCTCCTCACCCTACCCCACACCCCACCGCCCTGCTCTAACTCCTTCTTCACTCTCCACATAGGATTACCAGGAGTCAGACCTCCCTGATGACCCCACAAGCTCTGCAGAGGTGCCCCCCACCTCGGAGATGGAGCAGGAGCTGTATTATGCCTCCATCAGCTTTCACAGGAGGACGGAGAGCACCTGTGCAGAATACTCAGAGATCAGGACCCAATGAGGAACCACAAGGAGCATCAGTCTCAGAGGAAGCGTCCATATCCTCCAGGAAGGGGGATCCAAACCCTGATTTTTAGAAGAGTTAACATCCCCATAGGCAACGGGCTTACAAACTCCTGAATGTGAGTTTCCTGCTATATGGAATTAACTAAGGCTTTGTAATCAGAGAGGCCTGGGATGGAATCCATGCTCTCTCATTTATCAGCAGGGTGACTTCACGCAAGCCACCTTACCCCTCCGTGTCTCAGTTTCCTGCTTTGTGAAATGGTTGTAAGAAGTCCCATCTCACAGGGTTGCCATGAGGATTAAATAGAAGTGCATATGGAAAACACTCAACAGAGGTCCTGCTGCATTGTGATAGTTTGGCGCATACTGGTTCCTTGCCCCTTGAACAGAAAGGTGTTGGTGACATTTCACCTAGGGGCTGGGTATGTTCTGCCCAGGACATCAGAAATGTTTCAGTCTCACTTTCAAAACTCCCCCATGTGGTAGTCATTTTGCAATGTATCAAATCATTACATTGTGTAACTTAAACTTACACAATGCTACGTGTCAATTATACCCCAATAAAGTTGGAAAAAACTATAGATGCAGATGTATTACTTAATGATAAATATTAGTGAATATTTATCAGAAAAAGGAAACCCTTCCCATGGGTCCCTTCCTTGACTTGGTCTCCAGCATCATCCCTCTCCTCTCCTGAATCTTCCCTTTCATTCCTGCCTGCCTCCTACTAGTTTTATTAGAGGCAAAATCACATATTAACATTTAGAGAATTTCCTAAAATTCAGGGTTAGCCACACTTAAAAAACCTCTCCATCTCCTCAGCCCCAGAGACTAATTTATAAGCTTCTAATCTGATATTCCAGGTCAAGGGTCAGGATTTTTTTTTTTTTTGGTAGAGGGTCAGATAGCAAATATTTTAGGCTTTGCAAGCTGTAAGCATTCTGTAGCAACTATTCAACTCTGTGTTTGCAGTGCAAATGCAGTCACAGACAAATGAGTTAATTTGGCTGTGTTCCAACAAATTTTAATTTACAAAAGCAGGTAGTCCACTGGCTATAGTTCTCTGACCTCTATTCCAGGTTGTTTTCAATCTCACCCAGTCTACATCTGCATCCCCATATCCTAAACCATCAATCCCTCATGTCATTCTCTAAATGCCCCCAATCTTCAGGCATTCACATCCCTCCTCCAGGAAGACCCATCACCGGGTCATCATCCATCTGGCACCTCTGTATCCTTCAAAATAAACTGAAAAACAGATGTCAGTGTTGAGATGGTTGGTGAAGGCAATCAAGAATTTGTAATCTTCCTCCTAAAAAACCTAATAGTTTACTTAAAATAAAAATCAGTAAATTAAAAACAGCCTCAAATCCACCAGTAGCACCAAAACCATGACAGGGACAAAGCAGAATGCCATAAGACCATTAAGTGACTCCTAAAAACAAATAGGAGATTCTGGTGTGGTGTAAAAAAATGGCTGGGACCTAACTCTCCCTGCCCTACATCCAAAAGGGACAGCCGTCAGACTTCTGCTTATAATAATGTCAGGCTTGGTGACACGAGCCAACCATCTGTTGAAAACATTGAAAGTTAGTGGTTAAACTTCCAATTGAGACAAGTTGTCATCAACCCATTGTTCCCCGCTGTCCCCTAGAAACCCTGTAAGTGGTTCAAGAAATAAAGGAGAATTATGGAATGTGGTAAGAAGATGAGTTGGTTTAGGACCCCAAGACTAGGGGACCAATACAGAGATAGAGCATCTCAGTCCCCTCATCCAACAGAGGAGAGACACTCAGACCCATTGTTTCCCAAATCCTGATTGAGAAACAAAAAGCAGCCAGGTAGACTCATTTCTCTCCTGGATGGAAGAGGAGTCCTTCTGACAATCAGGCAGGCACATCACTACCAGGAAGGGAGATCAACTGGAGCCAGAAATACGTGTCCAGGAAACACTTACCTTCTCCACCAGGCTTGAGATACCTTCTCCTGCCCACAGACACTGGAGCACGTAGGCAGAAAGGAAGAAAGGGGGGATCCAGGCATATTGTCTAATACGATTGACCCTAAGTTCTCTCCTTTGTCAAATGTGAAGACTAGCCTCCTCACTTTCAGGTGTGTGTGTGTGTGTGTGTGTGTGTGTATGATGAAGTAATCTATTTTTTTTAAAGATTTATGTATTTATTCATTCAGAGAGAGAGAGAGAGAGAGGCAGAGACACAGGGAGAGGGAGAAGCAGGCTCCATGCAGGAAGCCCAATGTGGGACTCGATCCTGGGTCTCCAGGATCACACCCTGGGCTGCAGGCGGTGTAAACAGCTGCGCCACCGGGGCTGCCCTGAAGCAATCTATTTAAAGAAGTAGTACAAGAGGCCAGTAAGCAGAGGGCCTTAGCAAGAAGCTCAGGCAGATGAGGCAGATAGAAGTCATCCACAGGAGGAACAATGCTGAGAGTGAACAGGAGAAGTGGCAGATGGAGCAGAGAGAGGAGGCCAGTACTACCCACTCCTCTCCACTTCCCTGGCTCCATCCATCCTCACCCCTTTGCCCTCCTGGCCCCAAACCAAGACATAAGCATTTGGGTTAGGTCCTTCTGCTGAGCTGGGAGGTACCTGAGCTCAAAGCATGACCCTGTTTCAGCACCACAGACAGCACCAGGTCCCCTGCCTGGAACTCTCCAGAGGTCTGAGAGACTCCCCTGGGTCTCCTGGTGGATGGAGAGCCACCCCCCCCCCGGGGTGCCTCCTGGTGTGTGAAGTGCACAGGAGCCTACGGAAGGGTCTGGTGACATCCTAAGTCAATGATGCTGGCCAGGGGTGTCTGGGACCTTGCAGGGTGTGCTTCCCTCCTAAGACTAGGGCTCTTTGCCCCCAGAAGGTGTTAACCAGGAATTGGGTGCTGTCCTGAGATGAGGTTTAGGCAAGGGTGTCCCCAGTAATTAAATGAAATAACAAAGCCAGTCTTGGGGCATTGTTGGCAAGAAAGTAGTAGTCACTCAAAGAGGCGGACATTTGTATGACCTAAGAGAGAAATAAGGTTTCCATTTAATTTTGTAACTGTCTTCCTACCAAGCCTGGGTAACTTCCAGATGCTTTTCTTCTTTCTCTGTTTGAACTGATTTTCACTCTTTCAGTCTGGGATGAGTTTTTCCTCTTTCCATGTTTTCTCACATTTCTGTCTGGAGCCTTCTGGTCCCTTGATAGATGGTCTCAACCATTCCGAGTTTCCAACCTCTGCTGGCAATTCTTGCAGTGAATAGCCAAGGCTGTCTTGAGCCCCAGAGTTGGGAAGTGCACAAAGTCTGGGTGCTGTTGATAGGGCTATAAGCAGGAAATTCATGCCTGTCCAGCATTCCTCCATTTCTGTTTCTCCTTTTCAGACCCTCAATCTGCTCAAGAGTGCTACATGGGGGCTAGCCATGGAAGCCAGACCCCTCCCTTATGGTCCCTCCAGGGTCTACCACACCAGGTGATCAGAATCCTCCCCAGGCCAGCCCTTATCTGAGTCCTCCAAACATCAGAACAGGGTTCACCATTGGTCATCCCCAGAGCCAGCATTCTACAGGACACTGACCTCACTCCACTTTTCACTGGCAGGGTTAGAGACCTCTAGAAAAGGAAGGATGAGAAAAACTCTAGCTGCTTTATGTCTTAGGATAGAGGAAAGTCCTGGACATAGGAGCCCCAATGGAGGGGCCAGGCATGGGAGCACTGTGTTCATTGTCTCCCAAACATCTCTTCCCATACCTAACCCACCTCCACACAATAGGGAAGCACTTGGCTGATTTTGCCTTGCCCCTACACAAAAGAACAAACTTTTGTTCACCTGTAACTTCTGGTCTCCCTAATTATTTCCTACAGTTGTGAGTGAGTAGATGCAAGGAAAGGAAAGTAATCTACATGTTCTTTTCTTTTCTTTTTAAAAAAGATTTTATTATTTATTTATTTACTTACTTAAGAGAGAGAGAGAGACAGAGGGGGAGAGAGAGAGAGAGAGAGAGAGAGAGAGAGAGAGAGAACAAGCAAGAGGAATATGAGGCAGAGGGAGAGGGAGAAGCAGACTCTCTGGTGAACAGGGAGCCTGACACAGGGCTCGATCCTAGGACCTGAGATCATGACCTGAGCTGAAGGCAGATGCTTCACTGACTGAGCCACCCAGGTATCACACAATTTTCTTTACCAAAATTAAAACAATACTTTATGCAAGATTCTGCTACTTGTGTGTTTACCTTTATGTAAATACTGCCACTTGACACATATTTATCCCCTACTATGAAATTTATCATTACTGTGAGCAAAGCGAGTCTACACTGTTGTGAAAAATGCACATTATTGCCTCCAAGGACTTACTTTCTATCTTGGGTACATGAATATACAATCAAGGAAATTCATCTCACCTGTTTTCAACCCACTCCCAATCTACTTTTCACAGAGACCCAGAGAGAATTCTAAAAACCCAAGTGTCATTTTCAGCTTCTAACCCTCCATTGGCTCCCAGTTGCCCAAGTGGGAATAACAAAATCCTTTAAGATGAGCTCAGGCTGTTACATGGTCCATCTTATTTGGCTCAGTGGGCAGGCACAGGTTTCTAATGCCTAGAATACACCAAAAGCTGAAAAGCCAGCACAGACACATAGGTGCCAATAGTTTGTTTATTTATTCTATCAAAGGATGAGCTCTTCAAAGGCAACATCGTGACATTCATATAGATATGAAATAAACATTTGTTACAGTTTTTTTATTGTGGCAAAAAACCCACATACCTTCAATTCTATCCTCTTAACAAAATTTTAAGTGTACACTAGTGTTAACTATAGTCACTATGTCCTACAGCAGATCTCTAGAACTTTTTCATCTTGCATGACTGAAACTTTATAACCATTGTACAGCAACTCTCCATTTTATTTAACTCATTATGAAGGAAGGAAGGAACCAGGCAGAAATTAGTGGTGCACAAATTTATATGGAATAAGGGAATATTGAAATGAATTTGTGAATGCATAGTAAAAGTGGCTTGGTGGGGGGGTTCAAGTTCCCCCCACCCCAAGTGGACAGAATGGATATGTATGTCTATGGACAAGATCTATTTGCATTGCTATTAGTTATCCATAAATTATACCGCTTAAAATAGTACAAAGGTAATAAAATGCTAGAATCAGATCACCCCAGAAGTGTATGCTCTAAAGAATACATATTTTCCTTCGGAGACTGCCTGAAATCTTATTTTGCTTATTCTAAATATCCCTCAATTTTTTAAATTTAATTAATTTATTTATTTATTCGTATGAGAGAGAGAGAGAGAGAGACAGGAGGACGGAGAAGCAGGCTCCATGCCGGGAGCCCAACGCGGAACTCAATCCCGGGACTCCAGGATCGCGCCCTGGGCCAAAGGCAGGCGCTTACCGCTGAGCCACCCAGGGATCCCCCTTCCCTACAATTTTTTTATGAAGATTTTATTTTTTTTAATTTTTTATTTATTCATGATAGACATAGAGAGAGAGAGAGAGAGGCAGAAACACAGGCAGAGGGGGAGAAGCAGGCTCCATGCAGGGAGCCCAACGCGGGACGGATCCCGGGACTCCAGGATCGCGCCCCGGGCCAAAGGCAGGCGCTAAACCTCTGAGCCACCCAGGGATCCCCAAAATTTTATTTTTTAAGTAATATCTACACCCAGTATGGGGCCCAAACCCCTAACCCCAAGGTCAAGAGTCACATCCTTCACTGACCGAGCCAGCCAGGTGCCCTAATAGCCTTACAATTCTTAAAATAAATATTCATTGATCACCTAATGTATGCCAAGGATGTTTATAGTCAGAGTGGATTCAGCAGTAAATGGGAAATACATGACCCCTTGTGAAGCTTAGTTTTAATGGCAGGAGAGACAAAGAATAATTAAGTAGACCCTATGTTATGTTGATTCATGATAAGGAGTTTGAAGAAAAACAAAAGAGAAAGATATAAAGGGAATATGAAATGGATTATACTCTTCGTTATGTTGTCCATGGATGTTATCATTAAGAAACTGACAATTGAGTCTGCATAAATATACACACAGGCACTTCTGCAGATGCATACACACAACTCAATTATGCACACACAGAGGACACAGACACACATGCAGAAGAAGTACAGACACACATGCACTTCAAACATACACACAGACACACAGAGACACTGATACACCTCAAAATACACACACAGAAATCACTCACACACGTATACACAGACACAAACATACCTCAGACGTACACACAGACCACAAACACAGAAGACACATATATACACAGATCAAAGAAATACACACACTGCATAGACACACAGAGAGACTGCAGACATAAAGGCACATACAAATACAGAGACACACATGCCACAGATACACAATAGACACATTCATACATACTTACATCACAGCCACACAGGATGAGGCATTTTCCATTGGCTCCTCATGCTGGGAGGAGCTTTGATCTGGGAAGACTGGGGCCCTACTTCTCAGGACAAATAAACCCAATAACCCAGCAGAAGGGAAAAGTCAAAGTGCCCTGTGACTCTGGCCTACTTTCTGTCATATGAGCCGCCTTTTGTTCCCAGCCACTCACGTCACTGTCCACCTATCCCAGCTGCCCTGGACCAGCAGATCCCAAAATCTCTCATTCCAGATGCTGGCCTGTGTCTGGAACAGTAGTTTTGTCCACACTCAGACTGGCCATCAGGGAATGGACAGGAAAGGTGGAAACATTTCTCAGCCTTTGGAAGACAGACAGGATGCCAAGACAGGTGAGAAGAGAAGTGGATTCACCTCAGAAGAGTATGGGAATGAAGGAGCAGGAAGCAAAAAATGGTGGGCTCTGAAGTCACAGGCCAACGTGGGAGGCCCCAGTGTACTGCTAGGAGACTCTGTCCCTGGACCCTGCCCTGAGAACCCCATGAGGGGCTCATGGGACATACTGGGAGCCCCCAAGGGTGCTCAGGAAGTTCTTCCCATGCTCCTGGGCCCATCCCAACCCAGTGAAACATCCTTTTGGATACTCCAGCTCCTTCTATCCAGACTTTGGACTGCCTGAGGAAGCTCCTGATATATCTTCCTGGGGCCCTGCATGTGAATGAAGGGACCTGGTCATGGGGAGCCAGGGTCCCCTGTATGGGACAGCTATGAGCTTGACTGCAGAGCTCAGCAAATGGCTCAGTTACCATCCCCTTTCCCAAAACAGAAAGATGAGAAGAGGCAGTGGGGGAGGAAGATAGGGAGACAAGGAAAGGTAAGAAGATGGAGGAGGTCGACGGGGAAGAGGAGGGGAGCAAGATGGGAGAAGGAAGATGGAAGGAGGAGGAGGGGAAGGAAGATAGGAAGAAGACCATGGTGGGGAGGAGGATTGCTGGGAGGAGGACCGGTGGGGGGTGGAGGGAGAAGAAGACAAAGGAAGGGGAGGAGAAGGAGAAGGAGGGACTGGAGCAGGTGTTATGGAGAGGGAGGACACACAACAAAGTACACTGACCTGGTGTCTTACATGACAGAAGTTCATTTTCTCACAGCTCTGGAAGCTAGACATTGGAGATTGAGGTGTGGGTAGAACCAGTTCCTTCTGAGAACCCTGTGTTTGGTTCATGAGTGGCCGGATCCCCCCTGTGCTCTTGGTCTCCTGTTTGTGTGTGTCTGAGTCCTAATCCCCTCTTCTTACAAAGGCACCTGTTGGATTAGAGTCCACTCCAATGGCCTCATTTTATCTTAATGATCTCTCTGAAGACCTGATATCCAAAGACAGTCACATTTGGAGGTACTGAGGGTTAGGAAATGAACATACAACTTTTGGGGGGACACAATTCAGCCCATCACGCCCTGTGAGTATAGGCATCTAACTATGAAGAGTTTAATCCCCCTCCCCCAAGGCACCACAGCCTGAGCCTGGAGCCATCTGGTGCACATGATCCCTTCATTGGAAATCTCAGATGAGGAATCCCAAGGGCAGAGTTGACCACCAGGAGCTTCTTACTGAAGGCTGGATTCAGAGTGACCACGGAGGAACAGGCAGGGCCGGACATTTGACATGCAAGATGGCCACAGAAAACGCCCACCTCTGTCTTCATACTGGATTCTCCCACAGACAAAAGTTGAGTATTGTGATCCCTCCATGTGGCACAGTATTGTGATCTTTCCAAGAAGCTGAGGCTCGTGGGGGAGGAGGGCCATGCACACCTGGGCATTATCCCTCTACGTCATGCTATGCTATCATCTTGTTGCAAATGCCCAGCTCTCAGGTGTGGCCTGGTGCAGGTGACACCAGCGATGCCTGGAGCAGAGGGCTGTGAGCCAGCCAGGAAGCCCCAAACCCCCTGGGAGTCCTGGCCCTGTCTACTCTGGCCATTCATACCTGGGACTTACCATCTAGCTGCGCACAGCGATGGTGTTTCCTACAGGCCCCTGGCTGTGTTTACCAGCTCACACTGTATGAACAAGAGATGGCAGGGCCTGGAATTTCTCTCTTTCCTTGAGAAGATTCCCCTGCTCACCCCTCCTGAGTCCCACAGCTGGTAGGCCTGACTCTCTGGGGCTTCTGAAAGCTGTAATTGGCCAGATAATACACACCTTCCTGGTGGGAACAGAGGTACAGGAGGGACAGGCCATGGACAGAGACCGGGGGACGAGAGATTGCTGGGACCCCATCTGGAAGGAGAAGTGGTTAATCTTCAAGGGCCATGCCATCAAGTTCCCCTTCTGTGGTCAGTCACCTTTCAGACATCAGCCCTTGGCTTCCTACTGGGGCTTCCTCTCTGTCCTGTGATACCAACGCACCATGACTCTTACCCCAAAGATGTTGCCACTGCTGTTTCCCCTGCTGTGGACAGGTGAGTGGGCCAAGGGGAGGAGGCCAGGTGGGCAGGGGCTGCCACTGACCCTCAATTCCCTGCAGGGTCCCTGGCTCAGGATTTGAGTTTCCGTCTGCAAGTGGAAGAGAGCGTGAAGGTACAGGAGGGCCTGTGTGTACGGGTGACCTGCAAATTCTTCTACCCCCCAAATGGATATACTGCTTACGGCTATAACCCCGCTTACGGCTACTGGTTCCGGGAAGGGGCCTCTACGTCTCAGGATGCTCCAGTGGCCACAAACAACCCACATCGTAAAGTACAGGAGGGGACCCAGGACCGATTCTGCCTCCTTGGAAACCCCCTGGAATATGACTGCTCCCTGGAGATCAAAGATGCACAGAGAAGGGACTCGGGGACATACTTCTTCAGGGTGGAGAGAGGGTCTTATGTGAGATATAATTACCTACAGAACCAGCTCTCCGTGCATGTGACGGGTAAGAAATGGGGCCAAGAAAAGGACACATGCCACATGTATGGGTCCTGAGGGCTCTTGTGGCAGGGCTAGGAGGGGATCCCTAATTTCCATCCTGTCTGGGGAGGAGATGGCTGGCCTGCGGGTAGAGGCTGCTTCTAAGGCACACTCAGGTACCATCTCCAGGATCTCTGTCTCTCTCTTCCTCAGCTTTGACAGAGACACCTGACATCCACATCCAGGGACCTCTAGAATCTGGCCACCCCAAGAACATTACCTGTAGCGTGCCATGGGTCTGTAAAAGGGGGACACCCCCCACATTCTCCTGGTTCGGGGTTGCTCTCAACTCCTGGGGCTCCAAGACTCCCCACTCCTCTGTGCTCACCCTCACACCAAGGCCCCAGGACCACGGCACCAACCTTACCTGTCAAGTGACCTTCCCCAGAGGTGGTGTGAGCACAGAGAGGACCATCCAGCTCAACGTGTCCTGTGAGTCCCAGGCCAGGATACCAGGGTCACTGAGAGCAGTGAGTGTTGGGGAGGGGGAGGCAGAGTCTGGAATCCTAAGAGAAAGGAAAGAAAACACCTGACTCCACCGCTTTCCTATTTCTAAACTTCCTGGGGGAAAGTGCCCACAGCTACCTTCCTACCTCTGAAAACAATTGTCTGTCTGTCCAGATGCACTCCAAAACCTGACCATCAGTATATTTCAAAGAGAAGGCACAGGTAAGGTACTACCTCTCCTCTCAGACTGTGGTACAAGTGTTGTCTGTTTCCTCCCCTCAGAGCAGAACTGGGGTTTCAGAGCTCAGGTGGGAGAAAAGCTTAGTTCTCAATGGTTCTCAATGGGTGAGAGCCTAATGGGTCTCCATGCCTAATGGGTTTGGCCATCCCCCAGCTATGCTCTCCTCCCAAACCTTGCCCCATTCCCCTTAGGATCTGGACCCTGCCTACTCTTGCAGTTTCCTTCCACATTATAGTGTTATTGTTTAAAACAGTAAGCATAAAATGTGTCTTGGTCTGCTCTGGGCTGCCATAACAAAATACCACAGACTGAGGGGTTTATTTATTTCTCTCATTTCTGGAAGATGGCAGGTCCAAGATCAAGGTGTCAGCCCATTTGGTTTCTGGTGGGAGCTCACTGCCTGGCAAATGGCTGCTTTCTGGCAGTGTTTTCTCTCACACAACTGAGAGTTCTCTGATGTCTCTTCATATAAAAGCACTAATCCCATCCTAAGGCCCCTACTCCCATGACCTCACCTAACCCTAATCACCTCCCAAAGGCCCATTCAAATACCTCCAAATACCACCATATTGGGGGTTAGGATTTGGACATATAAGCTTGAAGGGAACACAATCTAGTCCCTAGCAAAACTGAATAAAAATAAAATAGCGTCCAGTAGCTATGTACCTCCCCTCTTGGCTATCTTTCCAAATATAATCTACACATCTATGTTTTAAAACACACACATATGTACACACCATACTATATACGCTGATCTGCCTTGTTTTCATTTTTTAAAATTTTTTTTAAAATTTATTTATTCATGAGAGACACAGAGAGAAAGAGAGAGGCAGAAACACAGGCAGAGGGAGAAGCAGGCTCCTCGCAGGGAGCCTGATGCGGGACTTGATCCTGGATCCCGGGATCACGACCTGAGCCGAAGGCAGGTGCCCAACCACTGAGCCACCCAGACATCCCATTTTTTAAAGTTTTTATTCAAATTCCAGTTAATATACAGTGCAATGTTGGTATCAAGTATATAATATAGTGATTCCACATTTCCATACATCACCTGGTGCTCATCAGAAGTGCATTCCTTAATTCCCTCTACCTACTTCCCTCATCCCCCACTCCCTCCCCTCCAGTAAACCATCAGTTTGTTCTGTATAGTTAAGCATCTGTTTCTTGATTTGTCTCTCTCTCTCTCTTTTTTGCCTTTACTTGCTTGTTTTGTTTCTTAAATTCTACACATGAGTGAAATCACATGGTATTTGTCTTTCTTCAATGGACCTATTTAACTTAGCTATATTTTAAAAATTTATTTATTTATTTATTTATTTATTTATTTATTTATTTATTTGAGAGAGAGAGAGAGAGGGTGCATGAACACTTAAGGGTAGAGGCAGAGTGCGAGGGAGAGAATCTTCAGGCAGACTCCCCAATGAGCCCAGAGGCTGACGTTGGACTGGGCTTGATTCCAGGACCCTGAGCCTAAATCAAGAGTTGGTCACTTAACTGGCTGAGCCACCCAGGTGCCCCTCTCTTAGCTATTATTTTTTTAATTAACTTTTCATTGTGGAATAATTTTAGGTTTACATAGTACATAGAGTTTCCATAAAGCCCTCACTTGGCTTTCCTTGTCTTTGAAAGTCTTAATCGCCATGATGCACTTATTCCAACTAAGTAAGTGATGTTGATACATTATTGTCTCTATGAGTACATAGGAAAACTTCACTCCTACTGATGACTCCATGGTCTTCCAATTAGAAGTATATTATACCATAAACTACTTAACTAGTCCCCATTGGTGGAAAGCCATGGTGTTTCCTGACTTCTGTTACGACAAATAATACTGCAACAAATAACTTGTACAAACATACCCCATATATGTGCATGTGTCTATAAGATAATTTTCTAGAAAAGTCCCAAATCAAAGGGTATGTTTGTAATTTCAACAGATACTGCCAAGTCATGCTGCATGGAAGTTATTCTGTTTATAATATCAACCTGCTGAACATTTTCGTCCCTGCCGATGTCTTAAGTAAATTCACTGTCATTTTAACTTAAATTATCATTTTGTAAACAGGTTGTGTATCTTTCATTATGTTTAAGAATCATTTGTATTTCTTTGTGGACTTTTTCTTAATTATTTGGAAAAGCTCTTTTTATATTAAGGAAATCAGCTGTGTGTTAGTTGAAAGGACTTATTTCCAGCTTAATGATGACCTTTTGACTCAGCACATGGTGTTTGTTAGACAAAAACATGTTTTTTTGAGGGGAGATGTTGGCATTCAGTGGCATACTGGAGTTGGCTCTTGATGGCTGGCAAGAGTCAACTCTGTATATGTTTTCCCAATTCTGGGTTCAGCGACATCTAGTTGGATGCTTGAAATTGGCCAAGAGGTAAGTGTTTACGCTAAGGAAATTGGCAAATATTGCAAATCAGAACTTTTTTCTTCCCTCCCACTCCCTAATGAGTTGGTTGTTAACATTTACCAGTAAACCACTGTTACACATATCAATATTTCTTTTCATATCTCGGTATTTCTCCAATCTAATATTATTTTTTGAATGCTAAGTAGCCTCATAGGTCAACACTCATAGGTCAACCCAAACATAAACATTCACTCAAGCCTTACAGGACCATCTGGTTTTTTTTCCCTGAGCATGCAGGGCCATTTCGCACCCTAGGTACAGCTGCACTTTCTGTGCCTGCCTCAGCAATGTCCTTCCATGTCAGCTCCCCACCTGTCTCATGCTCCACTTTAGTCTCTCCTCCTCCAGGAAGCTCTCCCTGCCCTGACAGTCTCACTGAACTCCCATCCTCAAGGTTCCCTCAGCACAATGTACCCCCTTCACAAAACACATCAGACTGCTCTTTGATGCCTGATTTGGGGTATCTCACTCACAAGACTGTGAACTCTCATACACACCTAAATTAGACAGATCTTAGTGAACAAAGAAAGATTGAATGCACAAGGGCCTCTTGGAAAGGCTATAGCACCTGCTCCCAACCCTGTCCCCTTGGGCTGACTCCATAATCATGGGGTCCAGTCATGTGGTGGAAGAGAAGAGACAGATTTACATGATGTGAGGAAAGGAGAGAGACTGAGAGACAGAGAGAGAATACCCCTAGTGAGAGCCAGGGCTTAACTTTCTCTCTGTCTTGCCAGGAACTGAGGCTCTGGGGAATGATTCATCTCTCCTACTTCAGGAGGGCCAAGCTCTGTATCTGGTCTGTAGTGGTGACAGCAACCCTCCTGCCAGGGTGAGCTGGACCCGGGGTAGCCTGACCCTGAAGTCCTCACAACCCTCAAATTCTGGGATCCTGGAGTTTCCCCGGGTGGAACTGGAGGATCATGGGAAATACATCTGCCGAGCTCAGCACATGTTGGGCTCCCTGGAAGCATCCCTGAGTCTACTTGTGAAGAGTGAGTTGGAACACACCTGCAAGGGCTGCCTGGGTCCTGGGGAGAGCAGCCTCCTCTGATCCTTCTCCTGTCTTCCCACAGACCCTCCAAAGCTATTTGGTCCCTCTTGCTCCTGGGAGGGTAAGGATCTGCACTGCCACTGTTCTGCTCAATCCCAGCTGCCCCCCTCTCTGCACTGGCAGCTGGGGGAGGAGCTGCTGGAGGGGAACTACAGCAACACCTCCTTGACCATCACCTCCAGTGCTGCAGGGCTCTGGGCCAACAGCAACATGAGCCTCAGTGGGCCACTGGACTCAGGCCTCAGACTCAGCTGTGAAGCCTGGAATTCGCATGGGAAACAGAGCACCACCATTCTGCTGCTGCCAGGTCAGGGGGGTATAAGGGTAATGCCCAGGGAGGGGGTAGTATGATCCAGGATTCTGAAAGACATTGAGGAGAGAAGTGGCTCTGACTCAGGCAAAGGGGCACTTGAGGTCAGATTTGTCTATAGATTGTCAGGGGAGGGGCCGGGGGAACCAGAGGCTAGGATCACATAGAGGGGTGGGGGACAAAGAAGCCAGCCCTGGGTAGAAGTGGGCACAGCCCTGGGCCATGGATTCCAGAAGGTTGGGTGCTCAGATGCCTGCCTAGTGGGATTGGAGTTTACCCCAGATCTCTCACCTGCAGGAAGACTGGGGCCCAGGACATGTGTGGTTCGGGGGGCCATCTGGGGAGCTGGTGTCATGGCCTTGCTTGCTCTCTGTCTCTGCCTCATCATCTTCTTCGCGTGAGTGGTGGCCCCGGTTTGGGTGAAGGCCTCATGAGGTTGGGTGGGGAGGGGACTCAAGGAATCCCTCATACTCAAAGCACAGAGCTAAAGAAACCTGACTAGGTGATGAAGTCAGAGAAGAGGCAATTCGTCATCCTGATGCAATTCATTGAAGCAGCATCAGGAATTTAGCCTCCTGACATCATGGCTGTGGCTAGGAGTAGTCTGTTCCCCCACATGGGGTTCCCGCCATCAGGAGGAGGGAACGCGTGGTCTCTTCCTGGTCTCTGCAGCCAGACAGCATCCCTCATGCTCTGCCTCAGTTATCCTTCCAGGCTCCCAGCAGTGAGCAGCCAGGCTGAAGTGCCCTGATCTCTCTCCTCAGAGTGAAGACCTACAGGAAAAAATCAACCCAGAAAGCAGCACACAGTCATGGCGTCCATCCAGCATTGGATACCGTCTCCCAGGTGAGTGGCCAGGGCATCTTTCATCTTTCTACCTGGTGTCTTGGGATGAGCCATGGGGCAGTTCATTCAGCATGCCAAAGGATAAGTCCCTCACCGACTTCCCAAATTCAGTCCTTCCTCAGAATTTCTGGCTGCACTCAACTCAGAGACCTGAGAGCCATCCTTTCCTCTCCCCTCTCCTCCACCTACCACAGCCAGTGATGGACCGAGTCTCACTCATTTCCCTTTTAGCAAAGCTTTTTTCCTTTTAGCCCCTTCCCTACTGAGCCCTTACTGTCTCCCTTCTGGGTCACTAGTCTTGCCTCCACCACTCCATCTCTCCATCTCTCCTCCCAATCTTTGGGCAAGAAATTACCCCAAACAGCTGCCACCCCTGTGCTTGCTTCCCACTATCTAGACCAGCATGGTCCAACAGAAATATCATGTGAGACACATACGTAGCTTAAAATTTACTAATGGCCACATTTATAAAGTAGAAAGGACCATGAGATCAATTTTAATGTAATATATTATTTAACCCAATATGTTCAAAATATTATTTCACTGTCATCTCATCAATAATCAATGTACAGATTATTAATGAGATAATTTACATTCTTTCTTCTTCTTTTGGTACTAAATTTTTGAAATCTAGGTTTTATTTCATACTCGTGGCACACCTCCTTTCAGAATCGCCACGTTTCATTTGCTCTGTAGCCACATGTGGCTAGGAGCTACCGTATTGGACAGTAGTAGTCCAATTTCCTCAGTCTGGTGTTCTGTGATCTGTCCCCTCCCGAGTTCTCCAGCCCACTTCCTGACCCTGACCACAAAATTAGCTCCTTATCCCCAGGCAAGGCTTATTCTCTGTGACTCTGTGCCTTTGCATGCATAATTTCCTGTGACCTCTCCATTTGCACTGGCCAGACCCTAATCCCCTTTCACGCTCCAGTTTAAATATTCCCTCCCCTATGCAGGCAGACTGTCATCATGCCTTCCTGTAATAATCAAGGCCTATCCTCAGCACCCTGTGAGCCCCGGGCAGACAGGGCAGGTTTCTGTGATTCTCACCCACATTTATGGCACCCTGCTTCTATGCATCAGATCACAATTTGCAATTAGATCATTTGCATGTGTACGTGCGTATAGCAATTTGATACTCTCTCCTTGCCCTGAGAGGCTGAGGTCAGAGATCGTGTGTGCTGAAGTTTCTTGACTGCTTACTCTATTTTCATATCTGTAAAATGAGGATAACAGTTATATCATCCACCGGAGAGTGGGGGAGTTATAAGGATTCAATGCCATTGTAATGAAAATTTGTTAAAGATACAAATGAATGAAAGAGTGAATGAATGAATGGATGGATGGATGGATGGATGGATAATGGATGTTCAGGAAATGGGCATGAAGTGGCTAAATGAGAAAGTGACCTCCAGACCCCACTTCTCTTCTCCAGACCCAAAGGCCAGCTCCGATGCTTTTCCCTCATTCCACTCAGGATCACCTGAGCAAACCCTGGTCAGACAGCCCCTCAGAGCCCCTGCCCCAAGCTGCGGCCACCTCCCCCTCGGAGAAGGATCAGGAGCTCCACTATGCCAATCTCCACTTCCATGGGCTTAAGCCACACAACTTTCAGGACCAAGAGACAACTGAGTATGCAGAGATCAAGATCCAGAAATGACAACCCCCAACCCGCTCCTGTCACTGGGAAGGCCAGCTCTGACTGGGCAGGACATCTCTGAAAAAATGCATGTCAGGCACTGATTCTCTATGAATTGACTACCCTCTGAACCAAAGTTTATAAATGTGAATGTGACACTCCTTGGAGTGGCTGAAAGTCACAGTTAAGTTCAAACAGCAGGCAAACCACTTCACCTCCCTGTGTTTCCTCCTCTGTAAAATGGGGGATAATATTCATTAGGAACATTGTTCCGTGGGAGAAAAAATGTACCATTTTCATTGTTAGATATATCTTGTGTTAAGTTTCTCACGGGATGGAGGGAGATGTCAGCTTCTGAACATGTACTCTCTCTCTCTCTCTTTTTTTTTTTTTTTGGTAGTGAGGGGGTGGTTCATGTTTATTTTTAAAAGTAAACCTATTTCTAAATGTAACTCTCTGGTGGGAGTAGGTATTTCCTAATACATATATCTAACAAAAGATTCATCCACGGTATAAAAAGTATATACAAGGATCTTTCAAAAATCAGTAACAAAAAAGGCAGGCAACCCAATAAAAAACGTGAGATATTCAAGGGGCCAATAGGTACATAGAAAGGTGTTTAACTTCTGTAGCTGTCAAGGAAATGTGAACAAAAAGTCCAATGCTGTGCCATGGCGTGGCCACCACATTGGCTAAAATAATATAAACAATATAAAGAATATCAAGTGTTGAAGACATTACATTGAGTGAAATAAGCCATCCCCAAAAGACAAATATTGCATGATTCTAGTTATATGAAGTATGTAAAGTAATGAAATTCTTAGAAACAGCAGATGAGGGAAATAAGAAGCTACTTTTCAGTAGGTAGAGTTTCAGTTCTGCAAGATGAAGGCTTTTCTAGAGCATAATGAAGTGCACATAGTTAACACCACTGTACCATACACTTAAAAGTATTTAAGATGGTAAATTTTATGTTGTTTTTTAAAGCAATAAAAAGGAATAATATATAGAGGTTACCAAGGGGTTGGGAGGTTAGGGGTGTGGGTGGATAGTCAATATTTAATGGGTACAGAATTTCATCCATCTAGGGATGGATAATGGTGACAGCTGCACAATGTGAACATACTAAAGCCATTAATTGTACATTTATGACAACAAAATGGTATGTATACTTTGCCACAATAAAGATTTTTTTCTTAGAGCATATCAAATGTGCAGCACATATACAAAATGTTCAGCAGCACATATACAAAAATTGGAAAGATGCAGAGAAGATTAGCCCCTGTGCAAGAATATAAAGGGTTGATGAAGATATGTAGCAACTGGAACTCTCATGCATTACTAAGGGTAGGAGGAGTGAGAATTGGCACAACCACTTGGACAAATGTCACTCTCTACTAACACTGAGCACAGGAGCCAGCAATTTCACTCCAAGGTGTGTCTCCAACAGAAGTGCCTACAAACGTTCACCAAATGTGTACAAGAATGTTCATGGCAGTTCTGATTGCCACAGCTGAAAAATGGAACCTGCCCAAATGCCCATTAACAGTAAGACGGGTAGATAGACCGCAGAGTATCCATGCAGTGGAAGAAGCAAATAAAAACATACAACACATGAGAATCTTACAAACATAATGTTGAGTGAAAGAATGCAGACACAAGAGTCCCCACTATGTGATATCTTTGATATAAAGTTTAGAAATAGACAAAGTTAATCTTTGGTTTTAAAAGTCCAGATGCTGGTTACTGTTGGAGGGTAGAGACAGGAAGGGGCCAGTGGAGACCTCCTGGACTCTTCTGGTAAAGATCTGTATCTTGATCTGGGTGAGTCCAACTGCTTGGATGTGGTTACTCTCTGAAATATTTCTGAGTAAAATATTTGTGATTTGTGCCCTTTTCTGTATGAATAGTACTCTTTAACAAAATTTACATTAAGATTTTTTTTTTAAAGATGGGGTGACTGGATGGCTCATTCAGTTAAGCATAGAACTCTTGCTTTCAGCTCAGGTCATAATCTCAGGGTTGGGACCAAGCCCAGAACTGGGCTCCATGCTCAGCGAACTCTGCTTCTCTCCCTTTCTTTCTCCCTCTGCCCACCCCCGCTCTCGCATGCGCTCTCACTCAAATAAATAAATTTGTTTTTAAGATTTTTTAAAAACATTATCCTCATAATTATCTAACTCTGATTTCTATCAGACTATAAGCTCCCCAGGGCAGGGACAGCACTATAACCGGCCCTGTGTTTTCAAAGCCCAGCATTGGACACAGCACATGAACTGAGCTCAGTAAACCTCTGAAATGTCTTGCACTCGAGTGCAAGGGTACAATGTTCCTGGGCTCTGCTGGGGTCTCCAGCTTGTATTGCCAGCCCAGGGCTCTCTTCTGGACTCCAAATTCCTATGTCTTCTTGAACATCTCTCCCTGAAGCACCATAGGCTCCTCACTTTCAGTGCATCCCATACTAGTTCCATATCTTCCCTCAAGTCTGGTTCTTCCCTCCGTTCTCCATCCAGGATGTGGGAAAGTCCATCTGAGGGCATGGCCCCTGATAACTGCCATCTTGGCAAGGAGAATATAATGCTCCCATGCCTGCACTAATTGCAACTTCCCGTCAGGGCACAATTTCTGGTCTGATACTCACTGAGATCTTGTGAAACAGGCCTCTTCCTCTTCTTCAACCTCACAGACTCCAGTTTAGGCTCCTCTCTGCCTGTTCCTCTAAGAGGCCACTGTCTGAACCACTTCCTGAATCTGGTGAGTCTTCATCTTTTCCTCCCCCACTGGAGGCTAGGAGGTCCCCTTGGCCATGGTAAAAAGTGCCCCAAAAGGCAACTACCAGGTCCTGGCCCAACTTCCAGCATGAAGCCTTCTTCCACCCCTTCCTGCCATCCTGGGAAAGATTCTGGAACTCCCTCCTCTGGAACCCCCCACAGACCCTATTCATCTCTAATCAGTGGGTCTAGAGACCATCTAAGTGGTCTTTGTAAAGGGGGTAAGGGACAGTGATTAAATGTTTAAGCCCCTTCATAATAGCCAAAAGATAGAAACAGCTCAAATGCCCATCAATGGATGAATGGATAAACAAAATGTGGTCTATCCATATAATGAAATATGATTCGGCCATAAAAAGACTGAAGCCCTGATACATACCACATGCATGAACCTCCAAAATATGCTAAGTGAAATCCTCCAGACACAAAGCTCACATATTGTATGATTCCATTTATATCAAATACGCAAAATAGGTAAATTCGTAGAAACAGAAAGCAGATTAGGGGCTGCCAGGAGCTGTGGAGAGGGTGACTATTTAATGGGTGTAGGGTTTCTTTTTGGGGCGACGAAAATGTTCTGAAATCAGATAGAGGTGGTGGTTACACAACATTGTGAATGTACTAAATGCCTCTAAATGTTCACTAAATGTTCATAAAATCATTTATGTTATGTGACTTACCTCTTAATTAAAAAAAATAATTAAAGTTCTTCAAAATCATTCTGCCAGAATTCAAACATCCACTTCACCACTTAACCTGTTGCTACCTCCACTTGCCCCTCTGTCAAATGAGGATTACAACACTCCCTAGTTCACTTGGTGGTTTTAAGAATGCACTGAATTAATGTACACAGGGCAGCACTGTGCCCAGTGTGCAGTGAACGGCTCTGGAAGCCTGGTCAACATGCATTCAGCCAAGGGCCAAACGCTGCCCAGGTCATCATTCAACTGGTCAAACAATCTCTAGGTTTCAACCTGTAGATACATGATGTCGAATTTTCCACCCCACCCTGATCAGGTAGGTGACTCTGTGTTCTCAGGGAAAGGCCACTCATGTGCAAATGAACAAAAGAGAAGTATAAGGCTTATTTCAAGTCTTCACAGCCAGAGTTTTGTTTCACTTCTCTCTCTCTCCTTGCCAATCTTCATGAGTCACCAAGTTCCTGATCTGTCCCCTCCTCTGCATGTCCAGATCAGGTCTTACTTGACCTTTATTCCTCCAGAACATTAAAACAGCCACCTACCCAGCCTCTTGGCTCCCCATCAGACCATCTGTTCCTCCCCTGCTAAATACCCTTTCGTGTCTGCCCTCTCCCTCCAGATGAGGGGCCAACTCCAGTGAGAGCTACTCAAGAATTTCCACAATCTCACTGTTACCTGCCTCATCCCTTTCTCTCAGTCACATTCCTGTGACTTCTTGAACATTCCATGCCCTGTTGTGCTCTCCCTACTTCATTCACATGGTTCTATCTCATAGTGACAGTGTCCCCTTTCTCCATCTTCACAGCACGTATATATCTTCTGAGATCAACTTCCTCAGACAAGCTGCATTTTCTAACTCACTCCCACCCTCAGCCCTGCATTTTCCCATGGGTTGGATTAGGAAAGGAAAAAGATTTCAAATAAACTGCCTAACTTCACCTATTAAGGAACCAGACAAAGAAGAATAAACTAAACCCAAAGTTAGCAGAAGGGTTGAAATAAAAAGATTAAAATGGAGATGATTGAAAGAGAATGGAACAACAATAGAGAAAATCAACAAGACCAAAATTTGGTTCTTTGAAAAAGATCAGTAAAATTGGCCTACGCTTAGCTAGATCAACTAAGAAAGAAAAGGACTCAAATTACAAAATGAGGAATAAAACTGAGGACATTGCTATTGATTTTACAAAAATAAAAAAGATTATAAGAGAGTACAATGAACAATTGTACAAGTTGGGTAACCTAGATAAATGAACACATTCCTAGAGACAAACAATCTAGCAAGATTCAATCATGAGGAAATAGAAAATCTGATAGACCTATAATTAGTAAGGTTGAATCAGTAATCAAAAACCTCTCAACAAAGAAAATCCCATGATCAGATGGTTTCAATGTGTGAATTCTACCAAACATTTAAAGAAGAATTAGAGATGCCTGGCTCTCTCAATTGGTAGAGCATGTGACTTTTGATCTCAGGGCTGTAAGTTCAAGCCCACACTGGCTGTAGAGATTACTTAAAAATAATATCTTTAGAAAAAAATAATAAAGAAAGAATAATAAATACCACCCCTTCTCAAACTCTTCCCAAAAAGATCAAAGAGCAGGGAATAGTTCCTAATTCATTCCATGAAGAGTTTATCCTGATGCCAAAGCCAAAGACACCACAAGAAAATGAAACTACAGACCAATATCCCTTAGATATGACAACAAAACACAGGCAACAAAAGAAAAAGGAGGTAAGTTGAACTTCATCAGAACTGAAAATTTTTGTGCTTCTGATGACACTTTTGACATTGTAAAAAGGCAACCCACAAAATGGGAGAAAACA